GTTCATCACAGATTGGAGCAGTGGGATGGGGGATAGTGATGTGTGACTTCTGGGTGCAAGCACCACAACCAAGAATCCAAGGAAGCCTAAATTCACTTTACTAAATATTTTTCCTATTAAAAAACCCCAAACCAACCACAATCAACAGATGTTATTTTTTGCAAGCATTGCATTTACATTCAAAATTCAGATTTATAACATTATCTCACTTAGTGGTAGTAAAATTGGATACTTTATCTATTCACAATGAATATGCAACATAACACTTGAAGAAAAGAGTAATTCAACCAGAAAGTCTCTGGAGTCTTAACTCTTCAGAAAACATGAGGTGTCAAACARGGAAGGCAAACAGCTTAAAGAGAAGGTTACAACTGATCTGGTTTAGGGTACATCAGATATAGCATCAATATTAATCAAGGACAGAAAAAATACATTGGCCACTCTTTAGCTTGCTGTGTTGTGAATGATGRCACAAAGCACTGAGAGCAGTAAGAAAGAAGTGACTTCACCGTCCTCTTGATGCAACAGGTTGCTACAGAGTACCTTGTACTTCTAAAAATTAATACCAAACCTCTCAGACAGGTAGATTTCAAGAAGTAGTGGATCAGCTTTCAGGGATATTTCATTTTTATTAGAGAATCTTGTGTTTCCTAAGTGCTGGAAAATAGCACTGTTTTATCAGAGGTTTTAATAGAAGCTTTTAACAGCTGTAGAAGCTGTTAATATTCAAGTAAACACTTGAATTAAGAACTTCCTTGCTCTCAAAGCAACAGAAACATAAGTGCTGTATTAATGAAGTGCCCTACTGCATATAAAAGAACAATTTAGTAAGAATTGCCTAAAAAGAAAGTTCAGCTCTTATGTGTTTATAAAGTATGCAGTGTTTATAATCAATACTCTGTCAGCACTTGTACTGACTTCACTTACAGTATTACAAGGTCATTAAAAATGTCATACTGATCTAAACTCACTTATGCACAGGAATCACATGATAAAGTAAATAAAATAAGAAAGTTTTACTAACATTCTGCAGTGCAGTGTTTGGTTTTTAGAGTGATCTCACAAATATAAAAAAAAGATGTTTTCCATGCTCCCATTTACTTCTCAGAGCAGAAAGTTGATTGAAGAAAAAAAAAAAAAAAGGTCCCAATCTCTTGCCCAGCTTTAAGCTATTTGTCCCAGATGACCACCGATTTGCCAGAACATCTACTGGCCCAAACCATCAGTCATCACAGCAGCAGTTTGCAGAAGGTGCCTGCACAGTGAGGTTTAATTAAGAAAATGTCAGTGTGAAAAGATCTGCATTTCATTATGAGATGTAAAAGCTGAACTGCTGAGATCCAAATGSCACAACTGGGCAAAGCCTGGCATTAAAGAATGTACAAGCACAGCTGGATCAACAGCATTGATGTGGTTGAAGTTGCACCATCCAGGCTATTATTTTATCCATGATACAGCRTCTCTCAAATGCTGTTTATTTCTGAAATTGTTAGATAAAAAAACAGAGATACTATCTCTAGTCATAAAATATATCTATAAGTCATAAAATATATATACAATTATTTTGATAATAAATCCTAATTAGCTGCTGCTTTTCAAGACTTAACTGGTCACCACTCCCATATATTTAATCACCTTAATGAAGTGTATTTGAAGTGACAATATGAAAGGGATTTAACATCACTCAGGCCTTCTCAGCAGTACTGGCAAGAGTATTCCAGACTCCTTAGTACTTGATGATCTCTGGGTGTTAAAGAAAACAAAAAAAACCCACAAGCATGTTTTGCAATAATGAAGCCTTGCACAGGTGCCCCAGCTAACACTCCAGTTCCCTCACAGGTATTTACAGATGTTCCTGCAACTCTCATTATTTACATGCAAAAGGAACTAGTCCTCCACCAAATTGCATGAGGCAGCTTCACAAYCTCTCCTTTAGCTTTATCATAAAACTTTACAATAGTAAGAATGCACTATCTTTGTACAAAATGGTCCACTCCATATAATCAAATTTGTATTTTTCAGCAATGACATTTCCTCTGTGCAGCTGTAAGTGCTAATTTTTAGTGTTGCTCCTTGACTGCTGCCTTCTCTGCAGCTAAAGCACTTTTATTTTTAAATTGAAGACTTTTACACAAACATATTTCGTCCTTGCTTTCATATAACAAAACAATTCAACTGTGGCTAATTACACTGGTACTCAAACTGGTCAAAGTGGACACCTAAAAGCCATCCTTCTGTGAAAACTKAAGGACACACAGATGTCTCTGCTGGAATATGAACTCCTGATATAGCTCCTCCATTGCTGCCAAGTAGTGCATGCTTGCATTACTCCAGCCACCAAAGCACGTAACTGTGTAAAAAGCCATCAGCACACACTATTTCTGTAGGCAGAGTCAGTTTATCAACTGGCTATGACTGACATCTTGAAGCACTATTATCTGTGTTGTTCACAGACCCCACCATCCACTCTAGTGTGATGCTCAACAACACATGCTACACGGTTTTGCATCAAAAATCTCAAAGCAGAGATGAAAAAGGTGAAAAAAAACACTCACAAACAAAAGCTATATCCCACAAGCCACTTTTGGAAMTGTGTTCTTACTGGTGGAAGTTCACTCTGATTCAACTGACTGAGGCAAATTAAGATACATACGTAGCTCAAAAGGGCAGAAGACAGTTAAGCTGACTAACTTTTAAAGATTTGCGTGAAGAACTTAAAAAACCCCAGCAAACTATATCCAATAATGAAGCCAATTAATRCAGTAATTAAACAACAAATAGACATGATAAAGAGTAAATCATCCTCTCTGCCTGTACTTCATAAAATCATAGAAAGATTAGGGCTCAAGCCTGAGGATCATTAGCTGTCACTTGCCAAGGAAAACAACCCTGGTATGGGTGCATCCTGAGGCAGAGCAGGGGATAAAGGTGAGAAGGGCAAATTCCCAGGGCTGGGCAAACTGCATTTGGCTGAGCCAACAGAGACAGAACAGCAATGGCAACAGATTGAAACACAGCCCAACTCTCCGTACTCCTCCCAGGCTATCTTCCCTTACTTTCACCCTCTGCAGGACACCTGTGTCCAGGAGCATCTTGTTCGTATGTGCAGGCTCCTGGGCCCCTCACCTTCCTTTGCAAGGAGACAAACCCTGACCACCACCCAGCTCTCTTGGGGCCCTCTCCCCTCCAGGGCTCTATCCCCTGGTACTCTACCAAGGAGAGGCCAAAGTCTGCTCTCCTCAACTCCAGGGCAGTAGGTTTGCTGTGTCCCCTCCCTAAGGATCTCAAACTCCATCATTTCATGGACAAATGCAAGAGGTTTATGACTCTGTGACAGACACTTGTGTGGCTGAAGTCCCTCCTGAGAACCAGGGTTTGTGAAGGCAAGGCCACTCCTGTTCTGTGTCAAAGGCATCAGCTGTTTGGTCACCTGGTCAGACAGCCTGTAGCAGACCCCAACTATGAAGTCACCTGTCCCTTGACTGCCTTTAATCCTCATCCATTAACTCCCAGTGAGCTCCTCATCCATACCAATGTGGAACTTCAGGAACTCCAGCTGGTCACTGACATAGAGGGCAACACAGCCTCCTCATCTCCCTTGCCTGACCTTCCTAAGGAGTCCATACCCTCCCATCCAAATCACAGAAGTCATCCCACGTTTCTGTGATTCCAATGCTTGTAGCCCTGCAAGCTTACACATTTCTCTGTTCATTCCCCCCCTGCATGTGTTTGCATAGAAGCACTTCAGCTGGCGAAACTTTCTAGCTGGAGAGAATGGAATTYCTTGATGTGGTAACTCAGGGGCTCTCCTGCTGACCTGCTCATCCTCTCCAGGCTCTGGGTGCCTCCTGCTCACCGTGAGAGCATGTCACTCCACAGCTTGTCACCATGACACCTGAGATAACCCCCCCTCCCCCATCATTCTTACCTAATGCCTTATCAATAAAACACATTACCCCTTGACCAAAGGCCCTCTTTCCCCTTTTAGAGAGGCAAATCCCATCTGACTTCAAGACACCCAGTACCATGGAGGCCAACCTGTTACATGAAAGAAACCAAAATTTTGGCAGTGTGGCACCAGCCCCAGTATCATGTATTAAAACCAGGTTTATCTGTTTTTTTTTTCACCTACAAAAGTAGATGAAAAACCAACCCGCTCCCCTAATTACCTCACCAATCCCCCCAAGGCCTTGAGGTCACTTGTGACAGGCTTTGAACTACGCGTTGCGGTTTCATCACTGTGCACATGGAGAACCAGCAACAGGCAGTGGCAGTCTGATGGCTGAACCAGGCTAAGTTTCCTGGTGACATCTGTAGCCAGGGAGGCAGACTTCTCTGTTGGAGAAGGACCTTTTTCCTCATCATCCACTGATCCTCCTACCACATCCAAGCCTCAATACCTGCTGTACAGACACATTTGGGAGGGTGAAGTGGGCAACGAGGGCTTCTGCCTGCTGCACTGAGCAAGAACTTTCCTCCATTCACCCCTTCCTGCTGATCTACTGCTTTCAGCCTGGCAGGGGGAGGTTACACAGTGCTCTTGATCTTGGCTTCTTTCTGGTCTCTGCTGCTGTCTCAGGAAGGCAAGAGCACAGTTCTACTGATGTATATCCCCCTTGGGAGTCCCTGATACTTCTTAATCTTTCTATCTCATCTCTTGGAAAACACACTAGGACACAGCATCACTTAGTTACATTCAGTAGCAGTCTGCTAGACAGAAAGAAAATTAATTTTTCCTGGATGTATTGAATGACTCATTTATTTGATCAGCATAAGCACTGAGTGGTTAATGTAAAACTAGAGTGAAAAGATTCTTTGCTAATTCTAAGACAACAGAACTGGTACACAGATCTACTGTCTTACCTCCTTGTTGGTAACTAGGATCCTAACCTAAATYGCTAATAGCTCAAGAGCTTTGCAGAAATCTTTCACTACAACTGCTTACTCACTAAAGCAGTGGAAAACATGGTAAAAGACCAATTCATGACACTTTTCTCCCTTCAACTTTGTTTATTGATGTACTGAACATGAAAAAGTACAAAGAATCCAAACACAAAAGAAAACATGTACAACCTCTTAAATACCCAACAGAATATATTCTCTATTCCAACAAATGTGAATTAAGTCATACTATACAACTTGAAATAAATACCAGCCTTATATTTTACTAAGTGCTCTGAWAAACACTGTAAAGTGAAGCCCAATTTACATGCCTTCTCATCAATGCCTTTAGTTGCTACAGTAGTATAGGAAAGAAGCATGTAGCTACTATTTCTCCCACATTGGAAAGTTTGTCATTTCTATACTATATACACAACTTTTAATGCAGAGGATTAGCTTTTACAATCTAAATGCATCTAAGAATGAGGAAGTACTCAGGAAGCCAATTGATTTTTGAATAGCATTGAGTGGGTCAGCATGAAAACTTGCTTATTCACTTTAGCACGCGCTTCACAGTAAATGTACTGTACTATACTGAAAATTTTATAACTACAATTCAAAAGAATAAGAATCAAAAACAACTGCAAAGATAGTGTACAACTATGTTATGCATAGAACATTGCTGTTTCTAAGGGGAAGCGTATGAGCATCTCAGTTTATACAAAAAGCAGGACGTAACTACATAGTTGTCAGTGCATCCTGGTGAAGGCATCAAACCCTCAGCTTCTTTTTTAAAAATTTAATTATAAGCTAGATGCTAATCAGAAAATATTCTGTATTTGTTTTCCTTAAATTTCTTCAATACATGGTAAAGACTTTTTCTATTTCCCCAAATAGTGATTTAAGCATCATACAAAGTTAAACTTCAATAGCATACAGGTATTTATGGTTTTCATATGAAAAATGTAAGGAAATTTGCTCAAAACGTATGTTTATACTGTTTTTGTTACCACAAACATATTTATAAACAAAAATGTTGCATCACCAGCATAAACAGCTGAAGCTAGACTATCTACAGACAAAAATAGCAACAGATCTGATGCACTGTAAATTCAAGTCCTCAGGAAAAAAAAAATTAAAAAACAAAAGAAGAGAAAAAGCAGACCTCAAGTAACAATGTTAATGCCATTTACAAAGAAAAACTTATACAAAAACATTCAAAATTGAACATCACTTGGCATGTAACTTAAAAAACAAACTATAATAGAAATTAGCTGAAAGGTTCATAACTTAAGTCTTATTTACATTACACAAAGCTCAGGTGTTAGCCTTGAACATAACTTTCAAAATACCTCCTAACATATCCAACTCAGGCCACTTCTGCTGATTTGCCATGGCGCAAACCATGCTCAATGTCTTTTGTAAGACAAAACAATTCTTCAAACAATAGCAAGTACATCACTAAACACCGTGAGCTCTATCTGAAGGGAATTCTTTAGGAAGAACAGATTTTTTTTCCCCCATTTCTCAGTATTTTAAGTTTTCTGCTTGCTCTTATAGTGTTTTTTTTAATTTCCATTTGTTTCAAAATCACAAATTAAAGTGAGCCACCTATCACTTAACCAGGATGATCAATGACTCCACTGATGATTACAAAAAATGAAACCAACAGTGCATCCCATTGACTTTACTTCTTAGTACAAAGGTCTCAAAAGTAGTTCTACATCATAAATCTTCCTAAATTTTTTCCCAACAACTGCAAGTTTCCTGGTAAATTTTAAAAGCTCACTAGGTGTCATATGAAGAGATTTCTCAAAGTATTCAAGTCAAAATATTTGTTCCAGGACCAGTAAAAAGTTTCTCCAAATTTTTTATTTTTTTATAAAAATAGATGCTTTTTTTAAACCCACATCAAAGAGGCTCTTATCTCTTTGGCAAGGTACTGCTTTACGAAAAGTTCTCCAGTATTCTTACAATAAGCTTTTATAATGTGTTCCCATTCCCCAACCCAAATGARGATGATGAAATAAATACTGTTTTATAAATTTATAAATAAAATGTAAACTTCAGATACTTTTCTTGAACAACAAAACAAAACAATATTGCATTACAATGTAAATTAAACACAAAGCAAATCAAGAAATAACAAAAAAAAAAAAAATTATAGTATTACACAAAGCCTCGATATTTACTCATAGGTTAAAGGCAGTCACGTATAAAGAAAAAAAACTTCTTCCCTTAGCTGAAACATTTTAAAAGGTCCACCTTCTTCAAAGAAGGCAATAGAATACGCATTGTGACAGGTAAAAACCCTGTACCTCTTGTCAATACTCGAACACAAAAGATAGTTAAGAAGTTCTAATTCAAATATTAGCAATAAAAAAATCTCACATATTCTTAGGATGCTAAGTAGTCATTTTATCCCCATTTCCACACTGACATACAACAAAGGCATTTACTGATGCATAAAGCTTGTTGTAAATTGCCTTTGTTGTATAATTTTCATGTATTAATGCACTGAGAATAACTTGTTAGGCTTTGTGCGTTTTGTTTGTTTTGAAGGAGACCTGCAATACTCTGTCACCAAGGCGGTATCCGTTCAGGCTGGCTATTGCCATAGCTGCCTCATCGTAGTTTGTCATAGTCACAAAWCCAAAACCTTTGCACTTGTTGGTGTTGAAGTCACGGATGACCTTCACATTGGTTACTGCTCCGAAGGGTCCAAACATTTGCCAGAGGATACTCTCATCAGCATCAGGGGCCAAGTTGTACACAAAAATGCACCACCCAGTTCCTGCATGTCCAGGGATATTAATGCCGGCCAAACTGGTCATTCCATCAATGGTCATTGGAGGAAACCTACTAAAGAATGAGGGAAAGCAAAAGAGAATCATAATATAACTGTTCACACAAAATCCCAGAGAAAAAATATCTAAAGAAAAAAAGAAAATGATACAGAGCTTTTCACAGAATGAACATGTTGCTCAGACTAGGAAGGTAAGATCAAAAATATTTTTGCCCCCTAACTGTGCAAATAKTATGTAAAAACTTATACATGAGTAGGGAGAACAGTGCTAGGCATGTCTGAAATGACGTAACAGGAAATCAAAAGGAAAGCATGCTATAAAACCAGTGAGGATTAGCAAGTCATTTGAAACAGGTATTCCATGGAACTGCTACAAAAGGTTTGTCTATTTCATGCAAAATGCATCAAAATGAACAATTTCAGCTGAAGTCTCAACATGCAAAAATCCAACATAAGTCTTACTGAAAAGTAAGAGTTTGCAAAATACTTCAAAATAATTTGGCTGTTATGAACCAACTAATCCTTTATTACCTCTTTACTCCATAAGCTATGTTGAGCAGATTGTCCAACCTGCAAAATATTTAGCAACATGTTCAGTCTTCAGACTTTTCCACCCTTAGCATATTACTGTCACATCCATAACACTATACAGAACCTCATGCAATGTTAGAGTATCACCACCGAAAGAGCCCCGACACCTTGTTACACCTGAGAGTTAGTGAATACAGAATAGATATTCTTGTGTAGTAACCACAACCAAATGAAGTTCATTTCAGAAAGTACACCAGTGCCACAAGTTTAGCCTACATCACACACTGTTAGCATAAAGTTACTGTCAGTGACCACAGTGAAATTTTCCACGTTACTGACTGGGTTGGCATGAAGGCTTTTATTGACGCTTCAGACATGAGTAGCAACTGCTGTACCATGAAGTCCAAAAAAACATTTTTCATATTCCTATTTCTTTTGGCACTTCCAAAATGTTGGGAGGCAGAAGGATGGTTTGGCTGACCAGGACTTTTGAAGCTAAGGCAAAAAAAGTAAGCGTAAGGACAGCAGAAGCTAAGTCAGGGACATGGAGAAAATACAGAGACATTGCTTGCCACTGCAGGGAGAAAATTTGTGTGCCCAAAGCTCAACATGAGTTGCTTGCCAAAAAMGTGGAGGCAACAAAAAGAGGTTTTTAAATATGTCAGTCTTGAAGAGCAGTCYAAAAATAATATCGGCCTGTTATAGATTAAAGATGTTCAACCCCACAAACAGGGACACAAACAAGACAGATGTTAATGCTTTCTTTGCCTCCATCTTTAATACTGAGGATGGGCTAAGAGGGTCCCAGTGCCCTGAGCTRGAGAACCACGGCTGTGAGAATGGTGAACAACCCAGAATTCATGTGAGATCTCCTGCTCCAAATGGATCCCTACAAATCTATGGGTTCTGATGGGATTCATCCAAGAACATTCAAAAAACTGGCTGGTATCTTTTGTGAGGACTCTCTCAATGATTTTTTTAATAGTCTTGGGAATATGTAGTTGACTGAAAGCTGGCTAAGACTATCCCAATTTTCAAGCAGGGCAAGAAGGACGACCCTGGAAACTACCGGCCTGTCAGTCTCACTTCAGTGCCTGGTAAAATTRTGGAGATTATTCTGGCAAGTATTGAAAAACAAATCATTCAGCATGGCTCCATGAGGGGAAAAGTCCTGCTTCTTAAACCTAATTTCCTTTTATGACAGGATAACCCACCCAACTGATCAAGGGAAGACAGGTCCTTGTTAGAGAGGAGTCAGATGAGGACTTAATACAGTAATGGTATCTATGACCGGTATGATTTATTTATCAGTTACCCTGAAGACTTGAAAATATTMTGGAAAAATTCTCAGGGGCTTCACAGGAAAAGATGCTTTAAGTTAAACATCTTATGGAAACTGACATTTATATARAGCTACTTTTGAAAGTCCAGCTCAAGTTTTCTCTTAGTAAGAAAAAAAGGAAGCATTGTATTGATCCTGTTGTTTTTACTARAAGTTTATACTGTTTTCAGGCCTGGGGCAATTGCATCAGGTAATCCTGTCTGCAATGTCAACAGCTGAGATTTCTTGCATGTGTAACACATGAAAGACTGAAGGATTGGTGCCATCTCAACTATGTAGTCAGCACCAGGCCGGGAATGGCAAAACAATGCAAAGCAAAAATGTAAAAGACATGAAAAGATTATTTCCCTTTACAGGAAGATATACAGATTTATACAATAGATTTATAATTGGGCAAGACTATCTTTTCATGAAGAGCCATTAGCCTGAAAGCCTTGACAAAACAAAAAAAAAAAAAAAATCACTGCAATCTCAGCTTACCTTTTGACCAGTCAGTTAAACCTTTCCTTCCTYCCACAGCAATAGAAGTGAGAGATGTTTTTCTCTCCTATTTACTATAGACTTGGTTTTACTCAATGCTTTTTGTTCCCATTATAGCTCTTTGTGGGGCCAATTACAGTATCTCTAAAGGTGCTTTCAAGCATTACTTTACACTTAGTATCTCAGAATAAAACAATGCCCAGTGAAAAGTAAAYGGACATTCACAAAAATACACTTCATTTTAAAGAAAAATAAATTTCTACGAGTCAAAATTTAAGGTACAATGCCGAAAGCTGCAGGACAGGGGTAGTCTATTGAAATTACCTAAGTGCAAAGAAATAAGTCTTATCCAAAAAAAAAAAAAATCCCACTCCTCTGAAAGGCGGAAATCTTGCAAAAGATTTTGCAAATCTTGATAGATCTACTCAGAGTATCAATCACTAAGCCAGCATCTCAGCCAGCATGTGAGTGAAACCAAACACAGAGGAGTACCCTGGAACATGTGCAATCAGAAGAACTCAAGGAGCCTGCAGGGCGAGACTTGCCAGAATATGCTGACTGTTGTAAGACACAGGCTGCTCAACAGCTCACCCATACTCTTATTTCATACAATGCACTTGAGCTCATCCTCCCATTTCTACCGCTGTGCTCTGTCTATGGAATAATGGCAAGCCTAATTTTATGCAATATTCAGAATACTGTTGTAAGGTAACCCTTTTATGACCTAAGAAGCAGTAAGATCCACGAGAAAGTAGACAAAATTTGTTATCCCCTTTCTTATAGCAGATCATCTGCTCCTCACAACCTGTGAGACACTTGCAGCATGTAAGGCCGAAAGGCTGAAGAAAAGAAAAATTCAAGAATTCTGACAGAAGTGCAGACCATGAATACTTGAATATTTGGCCTATAAGCAAGCCAAACCAATGCAGAGCTTTTGAAATTTGGTATATTCTCTTTGAAGCAAGCTGTCAACTGGTTTTGTTTCTTGAAAATTAAACYAGAAAAACTCTTTGAGTGTATCATTATTTAACACATTCCAGGCACATTTTTCAGGGGCAGAGGGAGGGAAGAAATGATCAGAATCACTGAAAAAAATCCGAGGTACTCATGGATGTAGATAATACAGTATTTGTTTCACTTTGTTCTCCAAAACATCTCTCTCACCATCTGTTCTTTYCAATATATTAAACAGCACAGGGAACTGTATGGCTGTAGCTTCAACATGATGGGAACATAAATCCCAAAAAAACCCATGCGGAAAATATGTGAACAATGTTCATTATGAAAGGTTATAATAAGTAAAGATGAAATGTGACATGGAGAACATAGACAACTAACTAGGAAAAAACTGACGGCCAGAATGGGGAGAGAAAATGTAGAGGTAGGTAAGAGGAAGCCGTGGCATATCATATGGCTAAGAAAAAACACTAAACATCCTAGGTCAAWGTCAGCTGAATCAACTTGCACATTAATCAAGAACAACTGAGGAAATTAACAGTAAGCTTTGGAAAAAAAAAAAATCAGTGATTGAGTAGAAGAAAGATGCCACCTTCGTTTAAATAAAAATACTTATTAGGCACTGAAATGCTATCCAGTAGGATGGCATGCATTTTTGGTTTTAGCTGTACTGTGGGAGCATAACTGAAGTTCAACATTCATGTGCTTCCTGCCCATACAGGAGTCAGACAAGCAGGAAAGCACAGGAGTGGTGGCAAACAAACAGAACTACGGGAACGTGCAAGTTCCAGCACAGTTGTGAACATTATCTGACTTACCTAAAACGTTGAGCCTGCTGAGCTAGAGGTGCGGGATACCTTCTGTTTGGAGAATGGTACAGCTGGGAAAGAATGGCCTGATTGGTTTTTTGGCTTGGATTGTTAGCAAACTTTACAGTGATGGGCTCTGTGGCACCTGGAGGTTTCTGGCCATTCAAGCCCTTGATAGCTTCTTCTGCTTCAATTCGCTTGTCAAACCGTATAAACCCCACGCCCCTTGATACCCCTGCACAAGGTGAAAAAAGCACATAGTAATGAATTCACAGTATAGTACATGTTAACATTTTATTTGCGTGGCCAATTGCTATGTTAATGGTCAATTGTACATGACAATTTTAAGCTTAACAGAACTGAGCTTTTGCTTATAGTAAAAATTTTTTACTGTAGGTTTGATTTTAACTTTTAAATTAACTGATGTAAGACACATTCGTGTAAAAAGCTTGTAAGGTTGAGGGAAAACGGTGGCAAAAACTTAAATATAGTAAGCCAAAGCGAAACTAGAAACAAAGCAATTTTGGTGAGGATGGAGATGAACCCAAATGAGCTGCACTGTAACCTGTGGTCAGCTCATGCTACTGAATTTAGGCAGTACCTAAATTCATGAAAATCCTGTACAAACTTAGTTCTCTGCTCTCYAGCAACAAAAGAAATGGCTTTTGTAGTCCTGCGGTAGCTCCTGAAGYTCTCTGTAGAGCAAATATGCTGTGAGGACAATGATGTGCATGCACTAGATTGCAATAATAGGAATTATGGCCATGTTTTCACAGTGGTAACCCTGAAGTAAAAGATTTGGTTTCAGTAAATCACCATTCACCACTACTGCTACTTTTGAAGGAAACTTTTCTTGATATGGAAAAGTCAAAGACAACAAGCAAGGGAATCTGAAAGTGTCTATGGAAAGTTTTAGGAACATCACGCATGAAAAATTCACAGTGTCTTAGATATAAACACATTAAACTGTGTATACTTGAACCAATTAACATCAAAGCTACTAACACAGCCACCATTACAACGTTTTGTTGTAATATTCCTAGCGCCATTTAAAAGCCCTTTACATTTTGGTTCATGAATAACCAGAAGAGTTAGACATTTGTCCTCAATAGAGAAAGACATTAGCAACAAAAAACTTATTCTGTTCATAAACAATGATGATTTAAACCATCAAAGTGACAATGAACAGGCGTAAGAAAGCTTTGAAGAGGCAAATGTCACAGCTTCAACTTTGCATTTTTTATCTGTCAGTTTGTGTCACAACCATTATTATTCATACCACTTCAAGCCTACTTCTTCCAAATTACTAAGAAGGAGTGGAGAAAGCTTAAACCTTAACAACAGTCTATATGCCAGAAAAATATGCGGCCAATAGCAGAATTTATGAATATGAATAGAATTACCAGGCATATTGGAAGTTCAATTATTTTTACYTACAGGCCCATTTGTTAAATTCCATCTATTTCTATGTATGAATATACAGGAGCCTTCTGCGACCAGCTATTTATTGCACAAAGACCAGGAATCTGTCCCACACATCTGCTACATCTACAAGCCAGTATTTGCCCTTTGGCTTTCCTTTCCATGCCTTTCTACACTTTCAAYAATTCACAGTATTAAAACACTCTACATATTAGCTGTCAGCATTGAGATCTCTTTTCACCTGGTGGAACTCAAAGGAGTACATACAAATTCCTCTAAAGGTCAGCCCAGATTCAAACACTAGCATGTACAAACTTTTCAAAGTAGGACAATTTAAAAACTTTATGACCTTCTACAGTTGAAAGCTGTTTTGTCACCCAAGAGGATATGCAGCTTTGAAAAGGTACAACTATAAAAAAAAAAGAATAAATCAAACCTAGCTTGTTCAGGGAATAATTACGTGAGTAAATGACTTCCTCCATCCCACCCCTTAGTGCTCCAGAATTGGAGAGCCCTGCTTCTTTGTATGCTGCTTTGTGCACTCAATACTCCTGTCATGTACTTGGCTTTTCCTTCCACTGCTTATTTCTGGCAGAGACCTCATGGCAGATGACGCAGAAAATTATAAAGCTTCTCAAGACCAGCCATTTGAGACAGAAAAAAAATACAGGCATTACTGTCCGAGTCTGAAGAGTAACCACGAAGTGTCACTGACAACCATTCCCTGATTRAGACACGTACTATAACAATGCAAATAACCTGCCATATCTTAGTATTTCAAGGCACTGAGTAATCACAGAAATTATCTGCTTCTGAGGAACTTGAAGTTCATGTGTGTGACCAAAGTTAATGACTTAGCCTTGAAAACAGTCTTAACAGCAATTGCCAGTCTGGAGCTTCTGTAATTCTAGCCTCAGAGAACCAGCTGTGCACTTCTGCATAAAATCTTCCTTTTACAAAAAAAAAAAAAAAAATTAATAGCATTTTGTAAGGCACTGGGAGACTATTTTCATGCAGCAGCTTGGAAAGGAAGATTATGGCAGCTGTAAATTTATTACAAGTCATCAAACTAGCTTCAAACCTGCACCTTCAGGGTGGAAATGACTCAAGCTGGCTCAGTACACTACAGAGTCTATTTTTATCCATGAATATTTATGAACAATTCCAGGAGGAAAAATACATTTTCTGGCCTACATACACTTTTTATATATTACAGAGACTATAACTGTACTAAAAGATGAAATATTTCTTAAACTATGAATCCAAAAATGAGAGGGCAAGCAAAACTGCCTACTTACCTGTGACTTGGTCAACCAGAATACGAGAAGTAATAATGCGTCCATATTGGGAAAAGAGCTGTTCCAATTCTTTCTGGGTCATTGTTTTGGGAAGTCCGCTAACATACAAATTCGCGTCTCTGATAGAAGCTGAACTTGGTCGTGCATAAGAAACCTTAGAAAATACCAAAAAAAATTACAAATCCTAGAGAAAAAAATCTTTAACATCAGCTGAAATTGGCTAACTTTATTTGTTCTGAGACATTAAAATATCTCCAAGAGCATACAGAAAAGTTATACTGCAAAGCCAGTTCAGTGGGTTTTTTAGGGTCTGTTATTTGGTGGATTTGTTTTGGTTCTTTGTTGTTGTTGGTTTTTTTGTTTTTGTTTTTGTTTTGGGGTGGGGTTTTTTTTTTGAGCTGCCTTCTGAAAACTCAGAAATAATGCAACATAGACCACATAGGAGAAGCTGACTACATGAACTCATATATAAAAAGTCCTTCCAAATATTGAGAAAAAGCTAGCACATTCCAGCAAGCCCTGGTGGAGAAAGTGTTCTCAGTTTCCTCACTGTAAGCTTAAACAGACAAATTTAGGAATTTCCATGAATATCCCATGTTCCATGAATTCTCCTTAAAAGGCACTAAAACATACAAGGAATTAAGATTTCATTGTGATATGTCAGCCGAAGGAACAGAAAGACAATCTGAAGCACTCAGAGGTTTGCAAGTGTTTTTGAAGTGCTGTGTGTTTTGTATGTGTTGAGTTTGCCACCAAAGGACACAACCACAGTCATTCATGAGGTCAAGATAAACTCTGCTACATCACTTTCACAGGCCTAAGAATGAATGGCAGAAGCAGGAATCCAACCTGTATTTTGCCTGTTCAGCAGGTGGTCAACTGCTGCAACAGAGGCCTAAAATCAAGTGCCATTTAACAATGAGCCTCTCGGATCCTTTTGGATGGAAGCTTTTTACCTGCTCCTTCAAAGTGTCAGACAGAAATATTTAAGACCATTAAGCAGATTCTTAAATCTTTAGACACATGCTACTAAACAGCATGTTCACGACTTCATACTGAAGTCTTACAACTGACTTTACCCTTACTTCAAGAATGATTAGGACAGAATATCTGTGCTTCTCTAGCAGAACAAAATACCTTACCAGGCTTTTCACCTATGCAAATGTAAAAAGGATTCTCAAGAAGTAGTCAAATTTATCTCCTTTCCTTCCTTCCCCTTCAGCGCACTCATAGCCAATACTAGGCAGCTGAGACTTGATTCTGTCACACTGTCATTTGCCTAATTGTTTGGTATTTTGTTTCAAATCCTTCCTGACTCATTTCTCATGCACATCAGCAGACTCTTAAGACTGCTGTGGAAGCAAAACAGAAGAGGGCACACTGGAGACTAAACAAGCAGTAACCCAAACAGGGGTGTGATGTTTCAAGTTCCACCCAGAGGCTTTCTGTGAGATACCTTTGCCTGAACAGGACTGACCTCTCAGACTCGCAGCCATCCAACACGGAGCCTTGTAAGGCACACTGCCTTCCTCTTTCCATGTGAGAGCCACACAAGAGCAAAGGACCCATGTGCAAAGTTACAGGAAAACTTTACAGAGAGCAGTGTTTGCCTGCATTCAGCCGAAGAAGCAACAAGGACAGTGACAGCCACCCTCTTCTGCCAGGCAGAAAAAAACAACAGCTGAGGAATGACCCAACTTGCTCAACTTGCCTATTTGGCCCTGAGCTTCTCTAAGGAATAAACTTCCATCCCTCACTTGGCAGGATGGCATTAAGGAGACCCAAGGCCAAGGAATGGCAACAGACTGCATGGAGAAGAGGACTAGTCCTAGTAAAATCATGAACTATCAAAACCAAGCAGTTCYAGCTAATTTAATGCTTGTTTTCAAAAGAAACTTTTCCACACTCCTCTGCCTCCCCGTAAGAATTTACCTCTACACAGTAGATGGTCACAGCAATAAAGTCCATTTATAACTGAGCACAATTAACTGTTTCATAGTTTTTAACTGCATGTGAAATTGAGATACACTGAATAGTGTCCTATCCAATCCTTTTTCAGCTGTCAAACACAAGGTTTCTTTTCCCATATGCATTTGGTCTGGTCCCCTGGAGAAAGCGTCCAATTCCTGGGAGTGATCACCAGCAGAGAAAGAACGAAAACCAGTGACTTATCTTTAAACTTAACAAGAAAGCTATACCACTGCTAGTCAAACAACATTTCACTACTGAAAAAGTAAAACCTCTATGATTAACTGAATATTAGGGAGGTATTCTAGATTTTGCATTAGCTTTGAACACAAATATCTGTTATGAAGCTGCTTTCCAAGCACGATCACTGGCAGGTGCTCAGAATGGAGGCTGCAGAGTTAACCCTCGCAAGCTCTTTTCAAGCAAGACCAAAAAAATCTGCCCAAATAGAAGACACCAAAGGTCTGCGAAGACCCTTAAGCTGTACCTTGTTGCATTTGTTTTCCCAGTCTCCAAACTATGTTGGCTTTGCTCTATAAGTAGTTCTATAGATAGTGATAGATCAAATAGCTCCACTGTCTAGGCAATCCAGTGCAGTAATTGGACCTTCCAATGAGTAGCCCACTTCTGCCAAAATCATTCTAATTCAACACATCCGACAGAATAAAATAGGGGACATACAACATAATCAGACACAACAGGGCTGTGAGCTGTATGAAAAGATTAAGTCACATAAAATGCAAAAAAAAAGGCTTTTTAAAGTAAAGAAGTGACCTGTGAGGTAATGCTTAATATCCAAAGATTTTGACCCCACCTCCCGCTAGTAAGTGATGCGAACGTAGACTAGAAGAACATAAGTAACTCCCAGGTCTGCTGATCTGTGGTTCAAGTTCAGCTGTGACAAGAATAAAATAAAAATTCTCCCTTCTTATGCATACATCACCCTGACCTCCCTGGTGACTACAGCAGCCTGGCAGCACAGGCATGGATCATAAGTCCTACAATCAAGCTGCTTTTAGGTCTGGAAACCAGGCTAATGTCCCTGCTTGCCACCTCCAGTGACTGAAGAATCACCTCCAACCCAAATCTAGCAAGCTGGAAATCAAGCAAAGGTGTCTGGGGACCTACTTGGATGAATAAGGAATTAAACTCCATCATAAACCCAAAGGATATGAAAGATGTAAAGGATGTGAAAAAGTAATAGAAATAGTTTCCAATCATGCACAGTTGAATCCAGAGAAACCAAAATCCAGCTGGATTTGAAACTGGTGAGAGACCTGAAAGGCAACAAAATTTATCTGTCAGCAAAAGAAGACTGATGAAAAACAAATCCACTGCTGAACACAACAGGAAAACTGTTGACGAGGGACATAAAAAAAGGAAGACACTTAGTACTCTCCTTGCCTCAGGAGAGGTAAGAACTGACCTTCAGGGATCCCAGGCCCAAGAGCAGTAGAAAAGAAAGAAAGAAAAGAAACTTAAAACAAGAAACCTGACCTCAGTGGTGGATGATCACAATGAGGAATACTTAAGCTGCCCAGAGAAATCCATGGGGCCTGAAAGGCTGTGGTTACAAGTGCTGAGGAAGATGACAGATGTTGCTGATAGGCAACACTTGGTTGTCTTTCTGCAGTGGGTTGACCTCAGCTGGGCACCAGGTACCCATCAAGCTGCTTGATCATTCCCTTTCCCAGGCAGGACAGGGAAAATAAAGATGGAAAACAATGTCTGGGTTTAGATAAGACAGGTTAATAAAGCAAGATGGAAAAAATTAATCCCTACTTCCCACTGATTATCAATGCTTGGCCACTTTCCAGGAAGCAGATCTTCAGCATATGAAACATCTGCTCTGGAAGGCCAACACTGTAAAATAACAAATGCCCCCTGCTCCTCCTCCTTCCCTGCCTCAGCTTTTCTACCTGAGCTGACATCACAAGCCATGGAACATCACTTTGGTCAGTGAGGGTCAGCTGGCCTGGCAGCACAGCAGCTCTGGGGGCTGTTATGGGAAATGAACTCAGCTCAGCCAAGAACCAACACACTTTGAAAGGTCACAGGGAACACTGGTTGCTTCTGAGTAGTGGAAAGAAGAAAGTATCACCCACCTTAACGAGTGGCAGGAAACTCTCTTGCCCTCTGGATAGCTACAGGTGAGTCTGAAAACTCAGACCCTGGAAGGGTGATCGAGGAACTAATCATGGAAGTCTCCTTCAAACACATGAATGACAGAGAGGTGGATTTATAAAGGTAAAACCATGTCAGACCAACCTAACAGTGCTCCAGAATGATGTGATTGCACTGGTGAGCAAAGGAAGAACAGTGGATGTTTGTATCACCTGCTTGTGATCAGGGACCTGATACTCTCCTGTACTGTCCTCACTGGTGCACACCAAGGCACACCTATGTGTGCCCAAACACACACTAGCTAAGTGGGACAGTGGTAAGGGTGAAAACTGGCTCAAGTTCCAGGCTCAACAGGTCACAGTCAGTGGCATGGTGCTCAGCTGGGAGCTAGTCCATGCCCTGCACTGACACTGRATCCAACCCCTGCCCCAGATGATGGGACAGCACACCTGCTCAAGCGATGATGCAAAGYTTTGAGGAGCAGCTGATGACAGACCAGAGGACTGTGCTGCCACCCTGAGGAGCTTCAGCRGATTGGGGAATTGGGCAAGCATGAAACTCAAAAGACATTCAACAAGAAAATGYGACTCCTCCCATTGAAGAGAAAAAAATCCCATGTATCAGAACATTCTGGGCTGGGAAACAGCTTCTCAGAGAACTTTTGAGTCCTGACAGACACAAAGCTGAAYGAAAGGAGAATGTGCCCTTGTGACACAAATGACCAACAGCCACCTAGGCTGAATTAGAAGCTTTACCAGCAGGTGAAGGGAGGAGGGGATTCTTCCTGTCTACTCAGCACTGTTGAGAGACTTGCAGGGGACCATCTCCAGCTGTGGGATCCCTACTGCAGCAAGGTATTTCCAGCTGGAATCCAGCAGAAGTGATTAAAGGGACTGGAGCATCTCCAGAAGAAAGGCTGAGAGAGCTGGCACTACTCAGACTGGAGAAAAGGTCTTAGTCGTAAGAATCTGAGGAAAGGAGCCAAGAAAATGGCACCACATTGCTCTTTGCAATATCAAGTCGCAAGACAAGAGTCAATGCACACAAACTGAAACACAAAAA